GAAAAGGCGAAAAATTTCAGTATTTCGAGGAGTCAGCAAGCGGAGGCAGCGAAGTCGAGCTACGCGAAGCAAGTACAGGAAGCAAACGACTACCAGCACAAGTATCTAACTGATCTGCTACCGGAAGTGCTTGAGGTAAGGTGTTATGAATCCTTAAGAAGCGTATTCGGCTACAACTTGCCAAACTTTAATCACAGGCACTGTGCGAGCTGGATAGCAGTCGCGTGATGCACGTGCAGAGGCTGCTGAAGAAGTGCATAGAAATCGAACGGTCGGTATTGCCAGTGATGGAGAAATGCTTGGATGATATGATGAACGAGACGGACCGTATAAACCCAGCCGAGGACTGCGAGGCAGTCGTCGAGCGCTACCGCACCGGCTACGGTTTGCCGGACGACATCAGTTTTCACGAGTACTCGGCCGAGGGATGTTCGACCACGTCGGCGTCCGAACTGTCGAACGGCGCGTCACAGACGATCAGTGCTGAAAGCTGGAGCCAGGGCGACTTGTTGAGCCGGAAGGAAACGAGGAATCTACATCGCGCACTGTCCGGACGCAAGAAGGGCACGTTTCGAAAAATATTCAGGAGCAGGGTAAAGAAGAAAATCATTTGTTAGTCGCAAACATAGTTACGTTTGATCGATTGTTTGCAGATGCTCCCCTCGCAATAATCTAGTTTCTTCTGAGCTGAGCTGCTCTTCCAGCTCTTTCACTGCTACTGAACTGCTGTTGCCCTGGTACTCCATGTACACTAAATGCAGATCTCATCCACTGTGCATAATATTGACGAATTGCACAGTTATAATCTTTCTTGATGCTGATTTCTGTGTATTTCTGAATGCTGTTTGAGCAGCGTCTTCTGGATGTTTCCTTCAGGCTGGTGCTAGTAATTTTACTTTTCCGATCAGAGAAGTAGCCACCGTTAGGAAACTGTCTCTCGCTATGTTTCTTTGCCATATTTACAAGAATGACGTCCCCCACCGGTGCAGTTCCTTCGGAGCTGCACTCTCCTCCTTGACTCTTCAGTCTTTTTGCATAGCGTCCACACGATGCACAGGTTTGAGATCTCCCCGAATCTGTTTGGGAGTGGTTTAATGTGGCTTAATTCTGTTTTTCCGCTTGGCACCTATCCAGCGTCTTATATGCCTCTTGTTTTTCTGTATGGTGAGTACACAATGTGATGAAGCAATTTCACAATGCGATTTTAACGATATATACGGATGGTATTCGTTGAATTCTCTTTCTAGGCTTTCAGTCAGAATAATTTCTCAGATCTGCAGTTGGAACAGGGAGGCTAAGAGTAGATGAGGTTGACCAGTGTAACTTGTGTCCGTCATCTTCATCGACAGCACAGTCCCGTCAGACTTCGACGGGAGGATTGCCCTTGCTGGCTGTGCAATATTTTCGCTGAGAAA